CTCTCTCTCCGATGTGGACAGTCCGTCGTCGCGCAACAACCCACGAAGCCGTCACCCCGCTTAGTCCTCCCACACCCGTCAGGTTCGCCCGCGCCAGTAGTTTGTCGTGGCCCGCGTCAACCCCGCGCATTTGGCACCAGCTCGTCGGGTCGCCCGACTCCTGCTCTACTCACCTCTTATTTCGTTCGTGTGCCGACCCTCGCTGATCTCGCAACCCCGAGCTTCCAACGGCTCGTTAAGAGAGTTAACTAATCGCGCAGCCAGAATTTATAGCGTGCATGCATGCGCGAAGAACACGGAATTACCAAGACTTAGAGGGGAGATTTAGAGAGGGAGTGCCTACGTTCTGCATGACCGGGCCGCGTAATGGGGGGCGTAGCCACTCTCCACGCATCGATCTGAGCATGCAGTCCGTGGCTACCAAGAACGTAGCAAAAGAAAGAGAAGGAGGCCTGGAAAGACGAGGCGCAAGAAGAAAGATACAGTTACAATGGCGCCAACCCAAGATTACAGTTACACATTAGATTAAGGGCGCCGACTAATCCGAATTCCGTTGCAGCCGCATAAAGAAGCAAGTAAGCAAAAAGGCGCCGCGCGGCAAAAGAAAGTCCTAATTACAAAATTCCTAAATTCCTACCTAGTGTGAAAAAGCAAAAAGCACCAGTTCCGGACGGAAAGTCCGAAATTCCGAGAGTCATCGGGGCTCGACAAAATTCGAAAAAGAATGCAAAAAGAAAATTCAAAAGGAACGAAGCAAATTCCCACGCGATGTCCGCGCCCAAAAAGTTCAAAACCCAAGCCAAAAGAACTGTCGTCAACATTTATTAATCGCGCGCTTGGCGGCGCGCCAGCCATTCGACCAATCAATCACCCGTCCCGGGACTCACCCAGCTCCGAACCCAGCCAACCGAAAAGGACCGACGCAAAAGACTAAGAAGCGAGGGCACCGATGCAATTTCCCATCCATCCCAATCTTCCGTAATTGGCGCAACCTTCCCAGCTTAGGACCCCTCAGCGTAGCTGCGCTGAAAGCCGCGCGCTACAGAAAGTGGTTCGTCACATATGTGACGCCAAGGGGGTTCCAATATTAGCAAGCTCCTGCTTGCTTGTTGATACGTGTCGATTTCTCTAATCGATCGACACGTGGAGCTCTTCTCTCTATGCCACTTACCGTTCGAAAGCGTGTGGACGTCGTCCAACGTGGCAACACTTCTCTTACTACTAATTCCTCAGGGAGGGCCTTTGACAATCCAAGGGGGGGATTACATGTGTCGCCGTCATGACACGTGTCCACCGGTTATGCATTAGCGAGCGCCGGGGAGGGGAAAGGGGAGACGATACATGGAGGGGTGGCGAGGGGGAGGGTTGATGGGTAGCGGGGGAAGGAAGCTCTCCATTCCGGCCACCGTCTCCAGAAGTTCCTGATAGCGAACGATCTGGTGGAAGCGGGGGAATCGGTTGCTTGTGTGGTGGAGGGACGCAAGGTAGTCGGGGTAGAGGGTAGTGAAGGTTCGGAAGAGGGCCGCTCGAAAGTGATCGTGGTTCTCGCATGCGGGGATAGTGCCCGTAGTCATGCAGTATACCTCGATCATATTATGGCCTCGCCACGCGGCACTAAGGAAAAGGATATGGAGGCAGAAGACAGGGAGGGCGCATCGGGTGGAGGGGCGGGGATGAACCGTGACAGCGAGGCGGGTAGTGTAGAAGAAGCGGAAAGTATCGATGGGGAAGGGATTGGCGGGGAAAGTGACGCGGGTAAAGATCTGGCGGAAGGAGAGGTGATCAAGGGGACGGCGGGATAAGGACCGGGGACGAAGTCTCGCCAGCTGTCGCTCCATCCTCGGGCTTAGGCGGCTCTGGATTCCGGGCCGGATCGTCGGTGCGCGGCTGACCGGTTGCGCTGGCGA